CATATTTACCTATTTTGTTAAGCAAGTTATTATTAGGTACAATACAAGGATTTTTGCAACTATTAACACATGATTCTATTAATTCTAGGAGACAGATATTTTTATTTTATTATTATTACTATGACGATTTTAAGAAAAAAGTTTTCTGAATATTCTGTAACTAGTAAAAATTATTATAATCTCATCCATATTCCCATCCCATGTCTTTGTAGGCAATATGATACTGTGGAGGGGTTCTGACTGAGATTTCCAGCACCATAGGCCAGACCATGGAGTCTCCTAATCACACAGACCTGGATCCTTCCATCTTCTTTCTCTTGGGCATCCCAGGTCTGGAGCAATTCCACCTGTGGCTCTCACTCCCTGTGTGCTGCCTGGGCACAGCTACAATTGTGGGAAACATCACCATCCTGGTTGTTGTTTCCACTGAGCCAGCCCTGCACAAACCCCTGTACCTTTTCCTGTGCATGCTCTCCACCATCGATTTGGCTGCCTCCTTCTCCACAGTTCCCAAGCTACTTGCCATCCTTTGGTGTGGAGCTGGGCACATTTCTGCCTCTGCCTGCCTGACACAGATGTTCTTCATTCATGCCTTCTGCATGATGGAGTCCACAGTGCTGCTGGCCATGGCCTTTGATCGTTATGTGGCCATCTGCCACCCACTCCGCTATTCCACCATCCTCACTGACACCATCATTGCCCGCATCGGGGTGCTCGCTATGGTGCGAGGCTCTCTGCTCATGCTCCCATGTCCCTTCCTCATTGGCCGTTTGAGCTTCTGCCGAAGCCATGTGATTCCACACACATACTGTGAGCACATGGCTGTGGTGAAGCTGGCCTGTGGAGACACAAGGCCTAATCGTGTGTATGGGCTGACTGCTGCGTTGTTGGTCATTGGGGTTGACTTGTTCTGCATTGGCCTCTCCTATACTCTCATTGTACAAGCTGTCCTTCGCCTCTCGTCCCAAGAAGCCCGATCCAAGGCCCTAGGGACCTGTGGCTCCCATGTCTGTGTCATCCTCATCTCTTACACCCCAGCCCTCTTCTCCTTTTTCACACACCGCTTTGGCCACCACGTCCCACTCCACATTCATATTCTTTTGGCCAATGTCTATCTGCTTTTCCCACCTGCTCTTAATCCAGTGGTCTATGGAGTGAAGACCAAGGAGATTCGTGAAAAGGTTGCCAAGGTATTTCAAAGGGGACCAGGAACTGGGGTCAAGACGTCTAAGTGATTGTGGAGGACAGAAGGGATATGCACATTAAAAAACCCACAACTTTCAAGGTTAAGAAATCCTCCATATTTGAGACTGAGATAATGTCCCCTGTAAATCTCTGATCGTTTGCAATGTCCATATATCACAGAGGATAGGGAGTCATTTCTGCATTCCTTCCTTTTATCTGGAGAAGTGTAAACATAACAAGACTAGACAGCACCTGGGCATTGAAAGCAGACCTTCCTGGACAGAGTCTGCCTTCTACCGGTTCAGAAGCGTCTCCATGTAGTCCTGGAGCTTCTTGGCCCTTCCCCAGTACTGCAAGCATGAGGTTCAAATTTCATGTCTTAGGCCTTCCTTACAACCACAGCATTCAGAAGCTTCAGAAGACTGGAAAACAGAGCCACGGTGAGGGAAGTTAGAACTGCAAGGAATTCTTATGCTTTTGAGAAAATCCTGTATTTCTCCGTTAGACTTTCAAATGTGGAAGAGATGAGGAAATCAGCAAGATACACAGTATCACTGAGCAGCAGGCAAAGGCTTGAACCTAGAATCCTTTAGTGCAGAACGTTAGGATGTCTATGGATGAGGGTACTGGACAGGTCAGGGCATCTCTTCATTTCTAAATTCAAACCATTCAGCTCACAGGTACATCTCTATGTCCAGCTTCTAGAGAACCACAACCTGTACTCCCATATCCCCAAAAGAAAAGAAAACAGAAAACAGAATTATATACAAAGCGACTCAGTATTTCAGCTGAGTTAATTCTTCATTCTAAAAATGGCCAATTCTGCAATTCTGGACCTACCTTGTACTCTGGGTCAGAGGTCCCTTAACTAGTTGGAGCATTTCTGAACAATTCCTACAAGTGTACAGACAGACAGCTTGCATGTGAGTTCTCATTTTAACTGAGATCTCAGTTTTCAGTATCTGGTTTTACGTGTTGCATGTTTTATAATCATGTATTTTTATCACCCTTAGTTCCCATACACAATTCTTTCCCACTATGTTTGAAATATATATTAACATCTCATCAAGCTAACTGAAACAATTAAAAATAAACTATTTTAATTCCAATCTTCATATGAACTCATATTTATTCTGTTATATCTTTTTCTATATTTACTTCTTGTTACTTCCCTTTCTGTTCAATAAAACTTAAAATGTGCTGTTAGAAGCCACTTCTATTTCTTGAGTTCACTTGTTTGAGTTCATGGACACTTTTTCTTTATAGGAAATTTCCCCTTTTCCTTAGTCACTTGTGTGTGTGTGTGTGTGTGTGTGTGTGTGTGTGTGTGTGTGTGTTTGCAGTGCTGGCGATCAAGCCCAGTCCTTCATCTTTCCTTTTAATTGCCTTCAGATATGTACTGACTGGTTTCTAATTTCTAATTGATAGTTCTACTCCAATCGCCACACAGATGATCCTGGTGATGAATCACAACACAAAATTAAAAGGCATGAATTATGGAAAAGAACTGGAAGGGAGGGTAGGGGCTTGATAGAAATGGGAGAGAGTTAAGAGGGTATAGGGGAGAGTAATCAGAAAGCATATATACATGTATAAAATTGTCAAAAGATAACCACAATTTTGTGTGCTTTTTAAAATTTACTTTTTGTACTCTGTTTTAATTTTTGTGATGTTAATCTTTTTTATTGAATTTTTACTATTTTGTACAATATAGCTTGATGGAATTTAGATTCCCTCCCCTCTCTGCACCTCTCCCAATTTAATGCACTCATATATTTGTGTGTGTGTGTGTGTGTGTGTGTGTGTGTGTATGTATGTATGTATATAATGTGGCCTATAGGGTCTGATTTGTGTCTGGAAATGCCCTTGGGTATGGGTCCATCAACTGGGCCCACCAGAGTCTCTGTCTCTCCCCCTCCTAGCAGTCATCTTATGTTGGGTTGGGATTTCTTTCCCATTTCCCCATGTCTGTGCTGGGGTTTTATCTGGTTTGAGCTTACATAGAACTTGTGTATGCTGTTACCACCATTGTTGTGAGTTTATATGTGCAACTGCCCAGTTGTCTGGAAGACTCTGTAGTCTTGTGGTCATCCACCTCCTGTGGTTCTTACAATCTTTCCCTCTCCTATTCTGTAATGATTTCTGAGTCTTGGGAGACAGGCTTGAAATAGGTGTCGTAATCAGGGATAAACACTGAGGCTTCTTGTTCTCTGCACATTAGGCAACTGTGAGTTTTTATGTTAATCACCATCTGCCGCATAAGGAGGCTTCTCTGGTAAGAACTGAGAAATGCATTCATCTTATGTGTACAGGTTGCATTGAAGATGTGTCACTTAGGGTTAAACACTTCACAGACACTTATTCTCTGCATTTCGTCAGTTCTGGAATTCTGTAATAGTCTCCATCTGTTGCAAAAGAAGCTTCTTGTCTGTAAATATGAGGATGCATATTTAGAATAAAGTAAGAAATTACATTGGTCTAGGGATGTGACTGTGGTGGTTTGATGGAGAGTGTTCTCCAGAGGATCCAAGTATTTGAGCATTTTGTCCCCAGTTGGTGCTGCTATTTTTCGGAGGTCTTAGAAGGTGTGGCCATGCGGGCTTACAGAGTTCTTGAGCCTGCCACATCTACAGTCGCTCTCTGCTTCCTGTGCCTGCTTGAAAATGTGAGCACTCCCTTTTCTGTTCCAGCCACCTCTGTCACCATGCCTCCCTGTCATGATGGACTCTCGCCCCTTTGGAACTACATAAACTCTTCCTTTCATAAGTTCCCTTGGTCATGGTGTTTCTGTCACAGAAACAGAAAAGTAACTAGTAAAGTGGCAAAATTAGCTTTTTCTCTAGGATCTGTGACCTCTCCTGCCATGTGTATTTGGCTATGTTTGCAGTATGAAACATAAGTTCCCTCCCACTGAGCAGGCCTTAATTCCAATTACACAGCTGTTGATTAGTCCCAAGATAAAGGTGCCATTACTGCACTAATAGGGATCGTTTGCTGGACCAGTCATTGTAGTTTTTGTTCATTGCTGCTCTATTCACAATTGCCAGGAAATTGAAGCAACCTAGTTGTCCATCAGTTGATGAATGGATAATGAAATCAATGTACATTGATACAATGGAGCATTATTCAGCTGTTAAGAAAAACAAAATTATGAAATTTGCAGATAAATGGTTGGAACTGGAAATACTCGTTCTGAGTGAGATAACACAGAATGAGAAAAAAGAAATGTCACATTCTCTCTCATAAGTGGATGCCACCTTTGAATCCTTAGATGTGCATATTTCAACTGAAAAAAAAACATAGAGGTCAGGAAACTAGTAAATGACCATTGCGGTGGGGTAGAAGCGTTATTGAGAGGGGAGATAAAATCCAATGTTAAAAAGAGGGAAAAGGAATAATTGAGTAGAAAGGGTTAAATGGGAGTGGGGGAATGGGAGGGCAAGGCAGAGGAGGGAGTAAGTATGGGAAGGTTTAACTAACACTAATGGCCTTTAGAAAAAGTTATATACATGGAAATCTACCACTATAGAAGTTTCCTAATGTATAGGCTTATACAATATATAAAAAGAGATTAAAAGGAGTTATCTTTTAACAGGGGGACAGACTCCAAAGGATAGCAAATAAAACCCAATACCAAGAATTGACTCCCTCTTTTGAAGCTGTTGACCAGAAGTCCCATACATCCTTAAACAATATTGGATATTCCTGATCTTGGTTATCCACCAGAACTTGATAGTAAGACTGTATTGCTGGGGGCTGGAGAGATGGCTCAGCGGTTAAGGCGTTGACTGCTCTTGCAGAGGACCGGGTTCGATTCCCAGCACCCACATGGCAGCTATGAACCATCCTTAACTCCAGTTCCAGGGGAATCCAAAACCCTCTTCTGACCTCCTATGCATTGCATGATACAGGTGTGCTCACATACATGCAGGCAATATACTCATACACATAAAATAAAAATAATAAAATATTTTTTAAAAGGCTATTGCTGAAGACACAAAATAAAATAAACAATAAATATTTTAATAGAATGAAGATAAAGAGAATAGACTATCAAAACTATATATATATAGGGTTTTTTTTTTTTTGGAGTTTTTGAGACAGGGTCTCCCTATAGCCCAGCTGTCCTGGAACTCACTATGTAGACCAGGCTGGTCTTGAACTCACAGAGATATACCTGGCTCTGCCTCCCAAGTGCTGGGATTAAAGGCGTGCACCACTAAATGGTGATAGTCAAGTATAAATGTTGCTATTCTACTCTGCTTATTATCCAGAATAGCTAATTTATTTTTTCAGAAGAAATGAAATTATGATATGCTGAAATTATTGTAAATTTGTTTTGAAAAAGTGGTTAGCCCTTAGGTCTATAGCTTACCATTGTAAATGTACTGAATATGGAGCTAAATTGGATGTAATCATTGAGGAGCGCTTTAATGAATAAAGCTGTGTATACTACAAGGAAACATGAAGAGTCTATGTAAAATGTTTGTCTAGTATTTTAACATATATCCTTCAGAAAAGTTGGTGTGTGATTTACATAAAGTTCCAGGTAGTACTATTTACATTGTAATTTACTTCTCAAAGTCAAGTAACATTCATCCATCCATTTATCTACTTTGAAAAGCACATATATTATTTAATATATAATCTGATTGTCTTGACAATGGGAATGGTTAATTGAGCATTGCGCTTAATGTCAATTATTTCATCAAACTGTGCAGGGTTCCTAAATAAGAATATATTTCACTAGTATCACAGGGTAAATATAATTAAAAAGAACAATCCTTTGATCTAATAAATTCTCTACCATTAATTATGGCTGTTGGTAGCTACACTACTTTAAGAGGTTATAGAGGCTGTAGAGTCAAGTCCAGAGGACATTTGAATCTTCCTGAGGAGGGTTTGGCTTGAAGACTAGGAATTAGCTACAATGGAGAGTGGGCAAAGGGCATATGCAAAGAAAGGACTGCCTATAAAAAATCGAGAATATCAGAGTCATCTGAGGAGGAAATGGCAAACAGGAGAGAGCACATTGATCCTTCAGAGTCCT